TGGCAACTTCTTTGTCTGAGCCCTGTCTTATTTTTCTGAGTTCTGCCCGCTGAGCTGAGCGGGATGGACCTCCACAAGCAAGCCCGCCGGCTATGACTCTAATTTCTCTGATAGGGGGAGCGGGGTTACCTTGTGCTCAGGGTTGCTGTGGAGGGCGATCATGGCCAGGGTTAGGTTGTGCTGGTTGCCGGGGGGTGCGCCGGCTGTTGTTTCTGATGAGTTCGACCCTTTGTCTTTGCTGAGAACGGGTTTTCGTGAACCGACTGAGACGTCCCTTACGTATCAAGCCCTCGACCTGATCTTTGAGGTTAACGCACTCCTCGGTATTATGACCATGGTCCTGGTGAAAACGATAATATTTGGACTGGTCTCGCCGATTGGAAGGAGACCGTGATGGTTGGGGCCATTTTAGGGAGGTAGTCTCGTTGGATCTGATTGAGGACTTGTTCCATGGGAAAATTAAGGGGTGTGTACTGTTCGAACCGGCCGGGCGGTCAGGCAGGTGCCGACTGGTCAGCTCGGGGGGGTTGGTCGGTATACTGAGGTGTTTGGTTATTGTATTGGGTGTTTCTGGTTTTTGAGTCCTTTCTCTTCTCCCTGGGAGTCGGGTTTTTGGCCGTAGGGTCTTGGCGAGCGGCTAGGGAATCTTCTGCGTTCATGTATTTTTGGGCTTTGGAAAGAAGGGTTGCCATGGAGGTTGGAGGGTTTTTTGAGAGGGATAAAAGGAAATCAGATGATCGTAGGCCGACCATGAATGCTGTGAGGATGACCTTGTCATCGTTTTTCGCTACCTGCAGGGCTTTGGTGTTGAAGCTGGTGACAAAGCTGCGCAGCGACTCCCCCTCAGTCTGACGGATGTTGAGGAGCTGGGTTGCAGGACGCCGCTGGAGCTGGGCTCCAATGAAATGGCTGAGAAAGAAGTCACTGAGGTACTGGAAAGTGGAGACAGAGTCTGCTGGCAGTTGACTAAACCAGAGCCGAGCCGACCCCTTGAGTGTCATGGGGAAATCCCAACACATGATTTCATCGGGGAATGCATGGAGGATCATAAGGGTTCTGTAGGTCTCCAAGTGATCGACTGGGTCCGTTGTACCGTCAAAAGAGTCGATCATGGGCATTTTGAACTTAGGAGGTAGAGGTTTGTCCCTGATGGAGGCAACAAATGGGGAGTTGGCTGTGGTAGATGGTTTATGCTGTATGTTCTGTATGACCCCTTAGAGTTGGAGCTTCATGGCTCGGAGTTCTGCGTCCCAGAGAGGAATGTTGTCACCACCGGAAGGCAATGGGGGCTGGACGCTACTGGCCTCTCCTTCAGGGGTTGTTGCCAGGATCGATGGATGTGGGCCCCGGGGTGGTAGGTTTATACCTGGAAGAGGGGGTTAGAAGCCTTCCAAGTTGGGTGGATTAGGCTACTGGATAGTATGGCTCGGGGCTCGTTCTTGGTTGGGTGGGATATCTGGAGGTGGTGGAGGAGGCATAAGAAGGTTTCTTTGAAGTAGAGCATTAATCAGGGCTTGGTTTTGCTCGGCCAGGCGGTTAATGCTGTTGGTGAGCTCGGTGAAATATGGTGGTGGGTTATTCGGATTGGGAGGGTCGGCTTGATAATCGGCGACATTGGGGTGAGAAGCCATGGATCTAGTTGTGACCATCCACCTTCATAGGTGGTAGGAGGGGTTATTGGGAAAGGGCCTCCGGTAACAATAAGCACAACTGGCGCGCGGAGTAAGAGAGTTCCCACAGATGGCGCCAACTGATGATACAACGGGTTCCAGACAGAACGGGTCAGACTGATCCACGCCCCTCAAGCCTATGTCCGAATGACCAAGCCCACCAAAAGACCTGCACAAGAGTCCAACGGGGAATGGGGAGTCCCCGAGTGAACCCTCCGACGTGCAAGTTAGAGAGAGAAGAAGAATGTAGAGATGAATTAGAGATAGAAAAGCTTAACCTTCTTTTTGTTCTCGAAGTCTGCTTATATCCTCTGGTAATCATTTCGTTGTCCCTTCCGACCTGTCACCTTGGCCGAAAGTCTATGCTCTAGCTTATCTTGTTCATGGTGAAGGCGTTCTGCCCCGACAGAGAGGGGTTATCGCAATAAATGCTGTAAGGGGCTTCATTAATGGTGATGTGCAGTGGCAATAACTTTGCAGATCTTTGTCTGCTTATGTGGCTTGCCCTTCCCTTGCCATGTGTCTTAATGTCATTGGTTTTTGTTGCTACGTGGGGCTTCGGCAATGCTGGGCTTTAGTATTGGAGTTATGTATTGGGCCCCAAATGGTGGGCTATAATCTTTATAGGCTTACCCATGCCAAGAACTATTGAAACGTCTTGGGATAAATATGTTGGTAAGTCTGGATAGGAGGTGTAGATGGAATTGATTAAGTTGGCTTGAGTGTCCAGGGTGAAAGACTGAAAACAAGCGCAGAGGAGGTACCACTTCCCTTCCGGTTAACAACCGGTAAAGTGGGGTTTTTGGTAGTGTTAGTTATGTCTACTTGCAGACATCAACCTAGGGATTACCTGAGTCGTATTTACCACCCTATTGAATTAAATTGTAAATTTCTGAATTGTAAAGATTTCAAGTTATCATTTTGCATGGTGGTTTATCAAAAGATGTAAACAAAACCTTTTTCTAAGGCATAGCATGGCATGTGCATTTCATATTGGAGATCTTATATAAATGTATATACTTTGTTAAGACTTCTTTACTGGGCTTTTGCTCACCCCTATAGGATTTTGGTGCAGGAAAAGACGTGGTGAACCCGCCAAACTAGGCGTGGAAGTATGTATTGAGGGCACAAGGCTCTTTTCTTGTAATTGTAAATTTTTTAAAGCCAAGGGCTATTCATGTATGGATCCGAGAGACCATTTTTGTGTAATCGGGCTTAAGCCTTGGAACTTGTAAGCCCTTGAGGGCATTTACTATTTTGATTGAATGATTTTACATGCTATAGATTCATGTACTAGGATTCATTGAGTGTATTACCCACGTGAGATTATTCCTATGTGAATATTTGAGATTATGTAATGGAATATGTTTGGGATATTTCCTGTATCTCTTAAGAGCCATGGTTATTATTATTATTTCAAGGGTATGTATATTTTCGGGGCGTTACAAATCTTATTATGATGCCCATAAATTTTGAGGTCACAGTTAATTGGAAAAAGTAATTTACATTTCTACCCTTCAATAATGACCCTACATTTTGAAATAATAATAATAATAATTTAATTTGCCAAAAAAAAAAGAAAAAGAAAGAAGCAACTTTCTCTACCAAACACATTTCTAAACTATTCACCAACCTGGACTTCCCTCACCAGCACCTGTTTTTTCTCCGCCGCCACCAGCACATGTCTTTCCTTTCACTCACCATCTCTACCTCCACCTAATTTCTACCTTGATTCCCTTACCACCCACCACCTCCACCTCGACCTTATTTTCTAACCCACATCAGCCTACTTCTTTTCCTCTCTAACCATCAACTTCTCCCTCATTTCTTTCCTCATTTTTCTTTTATTTTTCCAGCTCCACTTTACATCCCACACCACTAAAACCCCTCCCATTTCGATTTCCAACCGTAGAAACGCATTCCCCAATGACAAACGATGCTCCAACCCGATAGGGACCCACCCTACCCAGCACTTATAGGTGCGATTTTTCTTCAATTCTTTTCCCTATGGATTGGTTATAGTATTAGTTTGGTGAATCCCCATTAGGTTTGGGGTGGAGTAAGTGAATATTGGATCGATTTGGTGAATCCCCATTTATTTTTTCTTCTTTCATTATAAAATAGAAAAAACAAGCAAAGCTTTTGATATGGGTAAAAGAATATTCCAACTAACCATGCTTTCTCAAATTGCTAGTATTAACTAATGAAATAATATATATATATATACTTCCTCGGTTCCAAAATATTAGTCTCTTATTCCATTTTTCATTGTCCCAAAATATTAGTCCTTTTTCAAAAATCAATGATTAAAATAATATGAATTTCCTATTTCACCTTTCTTTTAAATCCATTACCAATGCAAAAAGTACAATCATGGCAATTGATATTATCAAAAAATGTACTATCAAAGCGTAATTTTGAAAAACTAATATTTTTAAAGTATAATAATTGTATTACCAAAAAAAGTTAAATTTTCCAAAAGAGACTATTATTTTGGAATGGAGGGAGCATTGTTTTTCTCTTTATGTTTTTCACATACACACTTTGGAAACTATTTTTATAAGAGCATCTTCAACGGTGAATCATTTATTTCACCAAATTTGAGTAAAAACTCCATCTGATATCCAGCACTCCAATGGAGCAATTTTGGCTGTCATCAACAAATAGGTCAACTGGGGGGATGGCCGGCCGGTCGACCGACAAGGACAATCCACCAGTTTCGAAAACTATTTTTCCTTCCATTTCTGTTTCTCTCAATTCCTTTGCTATTTGTTTTCCCTCAATTAATTATTTCCCATTCCTTTTTGCCTCCATTAATTATTTCCCTCAAAAAAAATATATATAAATAGACTAAACCAATTGACTACACCCAGCAAACAACGTTGTATCTAGAACCAACCTATCACTGAAAAACAGAGCATAATGACTTCTTCAACTTCTTATTTGTTCACTAATTTTTCATCCTCCTCTTCTTTCTCACCCTCTAATGATGAAAGTTATAATGAAAAAATTGTTTCACTTGTGGGTCTTTATGAGACAAACAATTCTAGTATGATATAAATGCTAACAAGAAGTGATCAACCAAAGAAAAAATGTGGCTTTGCTGTAGGACATAAGTACATACGTCGCAAAAGAAGAAAGGGTCATGATTGATTGGCTGCAAATTATTTTCCTATAAATCCAGTTTATTCATCTTTAACATTTTGGAGATGTTTTAGAATGCGTCATGATCTGTATCTGCGAATTTTGCATGCCATTGAAGCATATGACACATATTTTGTTCAAAAAAAAGATGTAGCTCATATTCTCGGATTGTTTCCATTTCAAAAAATGACTTTAGCAGTTCGAATGCTTGTATATGGAGTGGCAGCAAATGCAGTTGATGATTACGTGCGAATTGAGGAAAGCACAACAATTGAAAGTTTGAAACACTTTTGCAATTCAATTGTTGAAATCTTTGGACCTGAATATTTTAGATCTCCATCACCAACTGATATTGCTAGATTACTTGCTATTGGGGAGGTTCGTGGGTTTCCGGGTATGTTGGGAAGTTTAGGTTGCATGCATTGGGAGTGAAAAAATTATTCGATGGCATGGCAAGGTCAATATGTAGGCCATTAGAAAAAGCCAACCATAATTCTTGAAGCAGTAGCTTCTTATGACTTGTGGATTTGGCATGCGTTTTTTGGAATGCCTAGATCACACAATGACTTGAATGTCTTGGATCGTTCACCCTTATTTTCTGATCTTGCCCAAGGGAAAGCTCCGCCTACTAATTTCACAGTTAATGGACACACTTACAATATGGGTTATTACCTTGCTAATGGTATATACCCTCCATGGGCAACATTGGTGCAGACGATCTCTTCTCTCCAAGGAGCAATGAAGCAACATTTTTCTATGATGCAAGAGTCAGCAAAGAAGGATGCAGAGCAGGCATCCGGAGTGCTCCAATCCCGATTTGCAATTGTAGGTGGTCTACTACATTTTTAAGATCCTAAAATCTTTGGTAACATAATGAAGACTAGCATTATATTGCACAATATGATTGTCGAGGATGAGAGAGACTCCTATCTTGATTTGGATTATGAAATATCATCAAGCATCTCTGTAGTAGTACTGTCTACTGCCAGTAACAATGCCTCTGAATTGTTTATATCCTGTCATTTAGGTATTAGAGATAAGAATACATATCATGCCCTCCGCAATGATTTAATTGAACATATGTGACAACTTCATGGTGAAAAGTAACTTGACCATGTGGACAAGAGGATGATTGGGAGGTGTTTAGGGTGATTGTTTTGTCAGTGTTTGTTGTTGTTTTGGTAGTAAAGATTGTCTTACACCTACACACATATATTAGTTTTGCAACTAAATGCATGAAATGAATATATAATGTTTTTAGATATGGTCTTATCTTATTCCAGATGATTATTGGATTTCATTATTTCACTATATTTTTCACAATTGACATTTTACTATTATCTAACTTTTATTTGTAATGCATAACAGTTGACTTTGCATTTCCAATTTAATTATGGGAACAAGTCAATTACTGAAATTTTATTTAAAGAAATTATACTTTGTATCTAAAGTATTATTAGTCCTTTAATAATACTCAAAATCCACTTTATTGTCAATATACAATTTACTGATCTAAAATGACATTGACCTTTTTCATTTATATGATGATAATAGTGTGTAATTTGTTTACCCTCTACAAAACTATTATTTGTTATCACTTTGATCTTGAAAATAACACATTTTTTCCACTGTGATCTATTGGTTCATAGCCAGAAAAAAACTACTGTCAAATAATTTGACAGTAGTTACCATCTCCAAATTACAATTTGACAGTAATTGATGCTATATCCTTTTGTGGTTTTTTTTTTTATTTTTTTTTATTTTTTAATTGTACATCAGTCATGCATTTTGAAGTTGATGGGAACATCAATGTATGCATTGTCATGTTCTACAAGCCTCAAAACATTGAATTGGCATGAGAAGGCTCAAAGCCATTCAAGGCCACATCTACTTCATTCATGATCAACCACCTCATTCAATATGTATAACTACCTCATTGATTATCATATACTGCCCCACTTATCTATAAAAGCAACATCTATAAAGCAACATCACTATATCTGTATGTTTGTGGTGTGGACAAAAACAAGAAGCAGCACCACAATTGCAAACTGAAAGCAAAAAGCAAAACAAGAAGTTACACACAATTGGTCGATCGAAATGACATCTGGCAGGACGACTGGCCAGTCAACCGGTGGCTCCACTCTCCACTTCAACTACAGACAGGCTCTAGAGTTGAGGGTTCAACCTCTCTATTCCTTTTTCTATTGCTTACATTTTCACACCATTTTGTAACTATTCTGTTCCTTGACATTTTCAGATAGTCATGCGTAGAACCAAAAGAACAAAAAGCGAACTTGGACCGTCCTCCAACCCTGTTCCACGTCAACAACCACCTCAACAATAGTATCTGACTCAAGATTTTCTAACTTACAATCATAAACAAGCCTTTCCAAACTTCTGCAGCTGACCTAGTGTCATCGGTAGAAGGCTAAATCTTTCTCTTCAATATGATACTCTGTTGGTTATCAAACTTAAAACTATGAGGTGGATAAATTTGATCAATTTACCATAGAAGGTATATCCTCATCTTGTTTCTCTTTTTTATGTTCACTTGGAACGTATATCTAAAGATGATGGAAACTATACTATTAAGTCTTATGTGAAAGGTAAACACATAGAATTTGATATCCCCACTTTGGCATGAATTATTGGAGTTGAACAAGGGGAGATGCAAGTCTACTTTCACAATGAGTATGGAATGATTGATATTGTTGGCAACATAACTGAAGTATATTTTATTATTTGTGATAGTAAATTTACTGGACGTAATTTGCAGGCAAAACATTTGAAACCCCACCTTCGTATTCTCCACCGATACATAATAGAAAATGTCACTCCAAAAGGAGGACATTTTGATGTGGTTCTAGTTTTTAATGCTTATTTGCTCTACTATTTTGAAGTTGGCCACAAATTAGATTTATGTTATATACTCATGAAAGAAATAGTAGTTTCAAATCTTAATATCAGTGGCCGGTCATTAGTTTTTGGAGCTCTGCTTACAAAAAATTTCAAAGCTTTCAAGATCAGACTTGTAGGTGAAAAAAAACAAAAATATCAGCTGTGATTTCAGAGTACACACTCACCCGAGCTGACGGTGGTGATTTGTTATTGCAAAGTCTAAATGCACCAATAGATGATCCCCAACATGATGAGAATGCCATGCCACCACCTCAACAACCTCGATACTGGACTGATTTTTTGTTTGTGGAACAAGAACAACACAATCTGTAACGCCCTCAAAATAATAACATTAAACTAACCACATCCCTTTATTTCATTGAGTTTCATTACTTAAGTATTACATGTTAACATCAAAACAAAATGCCCTACGGGCTTACAGCTTTCCAAGTTAACACTTGGTTTCAACAAAAGAGTACTAACTCGTTTACACAAAAAGCCCTTGGCTTGAAG